TATTATTATTATTATTATTATTATTATTATTATTATTATTATTATTATTATTATTATTAACACGCTCTGATGCTAAGGAGTTCTACTCCCCCTCCCCACCTGGAAAGAAATCTTTTCCAAATGCAAAACACAAGCAGAGGAGAGGAGTTTCAGTTTCAGAGCACCAAGCAGCTTTAGTACAGAACAGTTGAGCTAAGCCATGCCCAAGCTCCTTGCTGTCTCCTCCTTGCTCACTCAGCAAATACTCTTTCAGTTTCCAAACAGCCCTCAACTCTCTCACACACTGACAGGACGCTAGCTAGAAGAATACCAATGGATGCTGGTAGGCAGAATTTTTTCCCCTTATTTTCTTCCCCCAAAACTACATAGTTTCATAGCGAAGCATGGGTATCGAGCTAGCAAATAAACAAATAAACAAATAAACAAACAAACAAACAAAGAAACAAAGAAACAAACAAACAAACATTTATTCTCTTTCCCGGCCTTTCACTTACCCCTTCCTTCTTTTTTCTTCCTTCTTTTTTTTGAAAGACCCTGTGTTTGTACCTAGTCCTCGAATTACGACCACAACGGAGCCCAAAACGTCTGGGGCTGAGCAAGCAACAGCTGCTTAAGTGTCTTCTTCTGGCCCATTTTATGTCCTTCCTTGCCAGCGTCGTTAAGGGAAACCACTGGGGTTGTTAAGTGAGTAGCACGGTTGTTAAGGGAATTTGACTTTCCCCCTTGACTTGGCTGGTTGGGAGGTTGCAAAGGGGGGGAGGGGTCCCTGCAACTGTCATAAGTACGAGTCAGTCGCCAAGCATCTGAATTTGGATCACATGACCGCAGGGATTCCGTAGCAGTGTGAAAAGCGGTGATAATAAGTCGCTTTTTTTCAGTGCTGCTGCAATTTCGAACGGTCAGTAAATGAACTTTTGTAAGTTGAGGACTGCTTGCAATGAATTTTTGCAAGAGAATTCCGTTTACTAATTATAAGGCCATTCATTTCTTTCACCAGGCCAAAATTTTAAAAAAAGGATTTATCAACCTAAGTGGGGACCATACATGCTTTTTATTACAGTGGGAAGAAAATCCAAATATGATAAATAATGATTTTGATTTTTCCTCCCCAGTTTATCTGAAAGCTCAAACGTCTCGCCTTCGCTCAAAAAATTGCTGGTTTCTTCCCCACAACTTAAATAAAATAAAATAAAATACAGCTCATTTCCATCTATGTCTTAATTTGGTCGATGTATTGATCCGACCTTTGGATTAAACTTTTGATTCTTAAAGCAGATGCTTTTTATAGTTCAATCATCAAATACAAGCAATATTTCTTATTCCACAGCCCTGCCGGCTAGGAAACCAGGATGCTCTCGACATGTCAAGTACGACAGCCAGATATTTATCACAATTTTGGTGAATCACACTTGCCAATAGTATACAGGCCCTGCCATTGATTCTAGCCTCTTTTTGCAAAAAGATAAATGATTTTGATTTCTGCGCAGAAAAGCTTTAAAAGAGCAGCAGTCAGAAAGTTGCTGGAGAACATTTTAGCCTGAACAAAACTGGATGCAGTACTCTTTTTAAGTGTGAAAAATATTTATATTTTGTCTTTCAGGGACCAATGAAAATTTCCCCAAATATATATTGAGCAATTGCAAGGGAAATCTAAGTGGCTGAATATTCCAGATTGCTTTTAACATTTGAGCCCAAATGTTGGCTTACGTTTGTGCCCCCCGCCCCCACAAAAAAGTAATAAATAAATAAATTCAGATTGAAGTTGTAGATGCCCAGAGACAGGTGTAACTGTCATATATACAGGCAGCCATTGGCTTATAACCATTCATTTAGTGACGATTCAAAAAAAGTGATTTGTGGCTGTTTTTCCACACTTATGATGGTTGCAGCCTCCCCCGTGGTCACGAGATCAAAATTCAGAGGCTTGGCCACTGGTTCCCCTTTTGCGACCTTTGACAAGCAAAGTCATTGGGGAATCTGGATGTATTTTTTTCTCTCTCTCTATTTCGGAGAGAAATTTGAAGCCATCACCCAACCCATTTCTCCAGCCGCAAATTTTGCATCTTTGAAAGACCGCTGAGGCCCATATTTCTTTTATCTTTCTCTCCTAGACTTCGCCTCCCATTTCTAAAGAAAATGTTGCGTGCAGTTAAGGAGAAAAGAAATTGTTGTGGGAAACAAAGCTTGGTTATATATCAGAAAGAGAGAGAGAGAGAGAGAGAAAAACCATCTCGGCTGCCCTGTTGGGTCTTGTGCCTGCTGTTTTCAAAAATTACCCAATTTCCAGTGCAAAGAAGACCGTGCGAGCCAAGATCGTGCAATTCTGTAATAGCCACGAGGTGATGTAGCTTTGAAAAATTGGCACGCAAGAAAAACTTGAGATTCAACATCAAGCCAGATTTGCAAACGGCCTCACAAAAGTTAAAAAAGAAAGCAAGAAACACCCCCTCCTCCTCATTATGTACACACCGCAGCCATGCTCTCAAAAAAAGCCAGCTTACAATTGCAAGAAGCAAAAGTAGGCACTTTGCATTTCATTTGAATTTTTAAAAATCTGCAATTCAGAATAAGAGTATTGCCCTTGTAAAACGAGCGACTCGGTAAAAGATTTATTGGCACTTTAAAATTGCATCTGGTATCGAATCTGGGCTGGAAGAGTTGCCATAAAATGGGAACCTCTCCCAAATATCTTGGGCTGGAACTGAGATTGTTTGAAGAAAGCTGCTATTCCAGATTTGATGAATAAGTTGTCTGCCACATCTATTTATCTCCACCCCCTGCCTTTTATTCCCCAGAACTAGGGTGGGGCTTCGTTAGCAGTGGTGGCTCTTCCGTCCCAAGGACCGTCCCATAGATTTCCACTGCTCTCCTCTCCTCTGTGCATCCAAGCATCAGGCACTTGACCTAGCTGTTCCTCCTCTTCCTCATCAGCCACCTCCAGACCTGGGGGCTGTTGACTCTTCATCTGAGGGCTGATGGAGCCCAGGCTCTGCCTCTGCCTCTTTCTTTCTCTCTCTCTCTGCCAGCTCCATTCCCTCTTCCCCCTCGGAGCTCCCAGGTACACCTGGATTCTGGTCCTGACTCCCACGCCTTCTCCTCATCTGATTTGGCTGCTGGAAGGGCCGGCGGCCGACAATGCCACAAAACTACCCTTTCAAGTTGAACCTCACCTTTGACGATAAAGTCCCATCTTTGACTCACCTGTATGAGCCGCCCTTGTTCGTTCTGGAGGGCGCTCAGCTCCTGCCCGATGGCGCTGTGCCCCTTCTTCAAATTTTCACAGTCTGTCCGGAGCTGCGCGGCGTGAGAGAGCAGCTTGGAGACCTCGTCCGAGAGGCCCACCATCAAGGCTCTCTCTTGCCCCTTGGATGACTTGGCCTCCGCGTCGTGGTCCGTCACGACTCTCAGGAGGGACGATTGCAGGCTCTCCAAGCGGACGAAGCTGTTGGCTTGGTTGGGACAGTTGGGGTCGATGAAGATGTTGATGCGGGAACTGTCGGCTTTCTCGATGGTGACTAAAGCGTTGGCATCGTCCGGGTTGGTGGTGATGACGGGCGGGGATTCAGTGACTGGCGTGTGGTAGTGGTTCATGAAGAGGATGGCGGCCGTGACGGTCACGGCTAAGAGGATGACCACGGAGAGAAGAACGGTGCAGAGAATGTAGCCGCAGTTCACTCTCTAGGAACAGACAGAAGGCGGGGAGAGGGTGAGGTCCTTTTGGAAGCCCACCATGATGTCCCATGGAGTAATCCAGCCCCATCCTTCCAGCCCTGTCATGTTCTCTAGGTTCTCACTTAGCCCTTGTAATGGGGACCTGGTGACAATAGAGTTGGGTCCAGAAAATAAATAATGATCAATATGGAACAGAACAGAATTAGAAAATAGAATAATAAAAGGGTTGGAAACAACATTGGAGGTCTTCCAATCCAACCTCTGCTTAAGAAAGAGACCTATTGCATTTCAGACGAATGATTGTCCAGACTTTTCTTAAAAACCTCCAGTGTTGGAGCATTTACAACTTCTAGAGGTAAGCTGTTCCATTGATGAATTGTTCTAACTGTCAGGAAATTTCCCCCTAATTCTAGGTTGCTCCTCCCTTTGATAAGCTTCCATCTATTACTACTATCATCTATCTCTCCCTTTCTCCCTCTGTACTTCTCTCCCTTCATGTCTTTTATCCATCCATCCCTTCGTGTATGTCTTTTATCCATCCATCCATCCATCCATCCATCCATCCATCCATCCATCCATGTCTTCTATCATCTGTCTGTCTCTCTGGCCATCTCTTTCCCCCCCTCCCTCCCTCCCTCCATCTCATGGCTTTCTGGGATTTTTAAAAAAAAATCCTATTCCACTTTAATGCCATAACATTTTGTGGAGATCTGCCAGCCAGGTACTAAGACAGACCCTCCTTAACTTCCAAAGGCAGACAAAGTTATTAAGATGGTTGAAGAGCCCAATATATCTTCAAGTCAACGGAGGAAAACAGTGTGTTAGAAGATGGTGATTAATTAAATGTATGTGCCATCCAACTCCCAATGTCTGAAATGAATCAATTTAAAAAAAAATCCAGAAGAAAATAATGGATGAAAATAAATAATATCCCCATAAATTAACTAATGCATTATGAAATTGCAGTACCAAAAATAGAAAAACTGTCAATCCAAAAAATAAACAGGGAAAAAAAAACCTCCTTAAAAAATCAACTTAATTAACATAAACCACCCAATTCTGCCTACATTCATTTCATCGTGTAATAACAACGTATCAAACTGTGCATCAAAGTTTATTTACTCTCGTAAAATATTATGAAATCTGTGCCCAAGGGAAACGATGGTGTCATATTTTTTTTTATTAGTGGTTAAAGAAATTGCCTTTTCAAAAATGGGTAAGTGACATATTTCTTGGATCTCTTCTTTCATATCTGGGATCATGGTACTTTTCCAATCACTCAATATAATTCTCTTGGCTGTTTTCCATGTATGATGTTATAAGCGATACCCCCCCAAAAATGGTGAGGTTGCACAGTTTAGGAATATATAGGTAGTTCTTGATTTATGACGGCAATTGAGCCACAATTTTAGGTTGCTAAGTGAGACATTTGCCAAGTGAGTTTTGCCCCCAAGATACAGGGAAAAGTACAAAGGTAGAAAGAAAGAAAGAAAGAAAGAAAGAAAGAAAGAAAGAAAGAAAGA